GGGGACCTTTAAAACATGACATTGCAGGGCCCTGTGCTCCTAACCTGCCGTCAGCTGATCTTAGCACCTGCTGGAAACACATGATACAGTATTTGCCTGCTTGCCTGTACTGCCTTCACATCTGTGTTAAATTAAATAAGTAAACAATTTTTTAAAATAAAAAAGCACACCTCAAGTTCATGTTCTAACAGTCTTGTTTTGTTTATAAAGTGAAAGCAATGCATGAGAGGGAGAGAGAAAGAGGGAGGGAGAGAGGGGGGGGAGGGAGAGAGGGATGAAATGAAGTGATGGGGTGGAGAAAATATGCGACAGTTTCCCAGTATATGCTGGAGGAAAGGGAGAGAGTCAGCATGGCATAATGGTTAAATTGTTGGACTAGGACTCAAGAGAGCCGAGTTCAAATCCCCTCAGTCACAGCCATGAAGCTCACTGGGTGACCTTGGGCCAGTCACTTACTCTCAGCTTAACCCACCTTGCAAGGGTGTTGTGGCGATAAAAGGGGAGGGGTGAAGTATGTACCTGCACCTTGAGCTCTTCAGAGAAAAGGTGAAATATACCGGTAAATGTAATAAACAAAGCAAACAACTTCATCCTCAGAACAACCCCATGAGAAGCAGAATAGTTGACAGATTGGAGATTTGAACCCTGGTTTCCCAGGTCATAGTTCAACACTGTGCACAGTGCACTAGCTCTCTGCAGAGAGGGAGCTATGCATGTGACTTTGAGTTCCCTGGAGGATTTAAATGTAATAATAACATAATCAAAAATTTCTGTTATGCATTAAGAATGTATTTTTTCCACTTCAAGTTTTTGCCAAGATCTGAGAAGGCAAGGTAGTTGGCCACGTAATCCCATGCATGTCAACTCAGAAGTAAGCCCCTTTGAGTTCAACAGGTCTTACTCCCAGGTATGAGTACAAGATTTCAGGCTGAAGGTGGAGAAGGCGAAGCTCTGTGTTGGAAAATGGGTCCCATCTAGCTCCCTCAGATTACGGTTTTTTTGTTGAATCAATATAGTTATTAGGAACTGAATTCTTCAGGATGAAGAAAGGAAAGGAAAAATTGGCACGAGTAAAAGAAAGAAATATATATACAGTGGTACCTCTGGATGTGAACGGGTTCCGTTCTGGAGCCCCATTCGCATCCTGAAGCGAACACGACCCATGTCCGTGCGTGCTGCGATTCGCCACTTCCACACATGCGTGTGACATCATTTTGAGTGTCTGCGCATGCATGAGCGGTGAAACCCAGAAGTAACACACTCCGTTACTTCTGGGTCACCGTTGAGCACAACCTGAAAATATTCATCCCAAAGCTACTTCAACCTGAGGTATGGCTATATATAGAGAGAGGGAGGGAGGGAGAGAGAAAATATGCATAGGACTGCAGCTCAGGGCTGGGGCTGCTTTGACCCTCCAGACATTGCTGGTCTACAAGTGCCATCACCCCTGACCATTGGCCATACTGCCCGGGGCTGGTGGAAGTTGGAGATCAACAACACCTGAAGAACCACAAGTTGCCCAAGTAGCTGGATTCCTTTACAGTGGACACAGGTAGTGTATACAGAGGAGTCAAATGTTTCAAAATAATTAGGGCAGCCACTTACCACTGTGCTCTAATAACAGTCTGGTCACCTCCAGCGAAGAGAATAGAGATAGTGCATATAAACAATCAGAGGGACTAGGTGACTTTACAAAAGGGAACATGCCAGTGTTGTTACTGCCTCTGCTAGAATGATACCTACGCAGACTTACTGACTTGCAAGTGCTTACTCAGACACAAGGGAAAAGGAAAAGTCATACAGGCAGTGTGTGCGTCTGCACACAAACAAACACAGCCACCGACTGGAACAGAGTCTGCCAAGCCACATGAGTGGGCAAGCAAAGCGGGATTATAAATCAAGGCTCACACAGCCTAGAGCCAAATATTTGCACACAATTATCACTTAGCTGAATAGGAGTAAAGAGCCATTGAACTGCACTGGAACAAAAGCGGTTATCTCAAACTCACACCGATAGCCAGACATGACCTAATAAATAACAGCGTCCTGACAATGAGAAATCCTTCAGGAAGGAGCTGTAGGGGAAACCTGGCTAAATTATTCAATAGTAGGCAGAGGAACAAGTTACAGGAACAGGCTTTCAGCTTCAGAGAAGGTTCCTAATTCCGCTCTCCCTAATAGCCATAGGAAACCACTTTTCAGCTCTGGTCTTTTGCTCAGACATTTCCTTGCATTTCAGACCCTGGATCTGCTCTGTACTAACAAAGCCAAGAGGTGAAGGATTTATGTTAATGGGAATGGCAAGATTTAGATTGTACTGGTTCTCTAGTACAGTATGCTGTAGCTCACCATGTACTCGGTGGAGTTACAGAATGGCCACATTCCATGCTACACAATGCCGGCACATGCTCCCACTTCCCTTTACAGGTCTTGCATCAAACAGAACCTGCTGATATATTAAATCACTTGCTAGCCACCATTGTCCAGGTCTCCTGAGGCCAACGCTGGTGTTGGGCAGAGTGAGGCAGCTGCCTCAGGTAGCAGATTTGGGACTCCATGAAAGAGCAGAAAATTGTTAGGTTTTTACATTTACTTTTTCTTGTATTTTTACAGCCAGGGAGGTCAAACACCTTTTCTGCTGCTCTACCACAAGTAGCAAAATTTATTGGACCAGCTGCCCCAAATCCATGGTCACTCAAAGTTTTGGCCATGCAAGAATTGCAGAGAGTGAGGCTGAAGCAAAATCTGAATAGAAAAGTTGGGCATGTGAATGTGCAAAACAGCTATAACAATAATAATTATTTATACCCTGCTCATCTGGTTGGGTTTCCCCAGCCACTATGGGTGGCTTCCAAGAAAAGATTAAAAATACATTAAAACTCCAGTAATTAGAAACTTCCCTAAACAGGGCTGCCTTCACATATCTTCTAAACGTCAAATAGTTGTTTATTTCTTTGACATCTGATGGGAGGGCGTTCCACAGGGTGGGCGCCACTACCGAGAAGGCCCTCTGCCTGGTTCCCTGTAACTTCACTTCTCACAGTGAGGGAACTGCCAGAAGGCCCTTGGCACTGGACCTCAGTGTCCGGGTTGAATGATGCGGGTGGAGACACTCCTTCAGGTACACTGGGCTGAGGCCATTTAGGGCTTTAAAGGTCAGCACCAACATCTAGGATGCTTAAAGATACCTTTTATTAATTTATTGTTGATTGAAGAAGAACATTCTGAATAAGATTTAATGTCTGTAGCTATGAATCACCATGTAGTTTAAACGGATTCTTTGTTAGTTGTGAATACTGAACTTTTAAAGCATGTGATTTTAACTTCTGCATGTTTTACAGTGCATTGTTTTGTTTCTTTTCTCTCTTTTTTGGTCAGTAGAAACAAAAGAGAGTTGTGTATTACTCCCTCTGCTGAATCGTGACACACGTTTGCACTCTTGCAGAAAAACTACATACAGTACCCCCAAGTTTTATGTAGGATCGCCAGCGTCCTCCCCCCCCCCCAGCAAAACTCCTAGATCTTTAACAGCGGACTGGCAAGAGGAAGTTCAGCAGGAGTTTTTTGCATCATTGCATATAAATGCCAGAATAACCTTTCCCTGCTGTTCAAGGACTTTGCAGACACAGTTATAGTATCCCTTAGGTCAGGTTTTGTAGGAGGTGGTTACATGCATCAGCTGCAATGATTTTGCATTAAGCTCTAGGCACAAGTTCTGCTGAGGTTCTGTGGGCATTTAAACTGAGGACACTGGGATTCTTTTCACAGGAAAATCCCACTGAAGTGAATAAGAATTATGGAACAGCACTAGAAAGTTGCTGGTGTACATGTGCAATGAAATCGCTGGGTCAAGATGAGAGTCGCTTTCATAGTCTCAATTAAGCAAGCTCTGGGATTTTGTTCAAAGCCATTAGATGATGTGTAGATGAAGACACTCAAAGAAGTCAAGAGGGATGTACTGATTTCATCCGGGTGGCACTGACTGCCACTCCTTTGCCAGTTACAAGAAAGGAGATTCCGACTAAACATTAGGAAGAACTTTCTGACAGCAAGAGCTGTTTGACAGTGGAACAGACTCCCTTGGGAGGTTGTGGACTCTTCTTCATTGGAGGTTTTTAAGCAGAGGTTGGATAGCCGTCTGTAATGGATGATTTAGTTGAGATTAGTTGAACTAGATCAGGCTTCCTCAACCTCGGCCCTCCAGATGTTTTGAGACTACAATTCCCATCATCCCTGACCACTGGTCCTGCTAGTTGGGATCATGGGAATTGTAGGCCAAAAACATCTGGAGGGCCGAGGTTGAGGAAGCCTGAACTAGACAATCCTCAGGGTCCCTTCCAACTCTACAATTCTATGGTTGGATAATACTGTACTAATTTGACTTTGGCCCCAATATACACTGCACTATATTAATTTTGTTATCCCCCATCAGCCCCAAAGGGATAGATGTATGTTACACTGCTCTTATCTCTCTCTAGGAAAGCAGTGTATTAAAGCCGATGCTTTTTCACAGGTATGTATATTTGTTTAGGTCTGGAACCCTTTGTTAGAGTTTCTGATGGTATGAATATGTTGATGCCTCCCCTCCTCCAGTATGACATCAGCAGGCTTTGAATTTATATAGAGTTTATTTTGCTTCAGGTGCTCAGAACTCCATGTTGAGCACCGACTAAGGCAGAAAATCCTGCCAGATTCCTGAATGGGACTTTCAAACACCAAGGGAGAATAATAATAAGTGTTGAAGCTAGAATCTGCAAAAATTTGGACTCAAGATGGTTAACATGCTACACGTTTACTCAGAAGTAAGCCCCACTATGCCAAAACATCTGTCCGTATGCTGCGATCCTGAATACAAACCCAATAGGGATGAAGCAAAACTGAACTCATTGGGACTTCATTGTAAGGTTGCTTAGGATTACCCTGCAAGTGAATTACAGGAATCAAGCTTTAGTATGTAAGGGCGAGATAAAAATCAAAGGCAGCTTTTTGGTGTACAAATCTGTAAGTGTTACAGAAAGGGGCATATGCCCCCAACCCTTTATTTTAAAGCAGAAATATGGATTATCATCCTATTACCTTGGAAGAGATTTATTACAGCAAGCTACCAAGGTACTCAGGCACAAGCCTAATTCTTAGTGTATTGATCTCCATAAGGCAACCTAGGTGCTGAGCATTAGCATACGATTAAATGCTTTGCTTAGTCGGTGTCTTGTGGGAGCAATTTCATCTAAGGATCAAACAGGCAGCTGAGCTGTTAACTCATAAATAGGACTGTCAATTGAGCCACTATAGCCAGTGAAGCTCAGTCAATACTAAGTGACTATTAAGCATTCGCATGCAATTATTTGAAGCACCCAATCTGAGCATGGAATGAGGTAAACAATACCATTATAAGCTCAGCTCAACAGAGTGTTTATTGGGACATATGTTATTAGTCTAATAACCCAACTTCACAAAAACATTCAAACTCTGCTTTATTTGCATATGGTGAAGAGAAAAGCTGGTGAGCTGTGCTTGGTTATTTATTTCCATTGATTATAGAAGTGCTTTGCTTTTTCCTGCACCACACTAATAGGGCAACCCTACATATGTCTATTCAGAAATGAATCCCACTGAGTTCAATGGAGCTTACTCTCACGTAAGCAAGCACGAGACTGAAGGCTGAGACTTAGAAACAGAAGAATGTAAAGAGTTCTGAAATGTAAATGTATATGTAGTCGTAAGGCCTGGTATATAATCTGACCTTTGAGGTACTAATAAAGAAGCACCACCAAAATGAGTGGGCCTCACACGATGTTTTCCTGTGGAAGCAACAGCAGGACCTGACTCAAAAATGGAAATCTGTATCTCTAAGAGCACAGTCCGCATGCTGAAATGCACATTCCCTGCCTCCAGTTACAGTTTACTCTTGCAAAATCTACAAGGCACCTGTAACAAAACATCGTGGTGGGAAAAGGGCCTGCTCTAGGTTGGAACAGGACCACTGTAGTACTGTTCAGGGTTGGTAGAGTGGCAGAGAAGGTGCCATCCTCCTGAAAACTTTAAAGACAGAGCTTTAAGGATGGAGTTTTGAGGCTGGCTGCCAGCCCTGAATCTGAGCGTTGAGTGAGAAAGTGAGAAAGAAAAATACAGAATGTTGAAGGGTTGTTGGTTTTTTTTAAAAAACGTATGGGATGCATCCAGTTAACCCTAACCTCCCCCCACCACAATAATATTCTTAAGAAACTCAAGCAGGCAAATACGTCTGCCCATTTTTCTTCTCCCACTTCAACTGACACACTCAACATTACCTGGCTCAACTGCCCTCTGCAGTCCATAGATCTTGGAGGTCCATGGGCATAGCTCCTTGACAAACTTCTTCTAAACATTTATTTACCTCTTAATCTACAGATGAAAATACGTTGGCATACATAAGCATCCTCTGAATATGCAGGGACCACCTTGTTTTGAGAGGCCCTATTTGTTCCAAACTGTTTGGCTGAAATGGTGTGTCAATGTAAAATGTGTTTATCTGCAGGTTCAGGAAACTAAAGTTGTCGGAATATTTTCTGTTCAACTCCTGTGAGGGAAGGGAAAGGTGGCAGTCTGGCTGAAGATTAAGGCTGAATGGAAGCTGTAGAGATAGGAACAACTTTGTGGGGCAGTGCAAAGCTCCAGGAGGTAGGGAAGCTTAAACAACAGAGGATTCAGAGGCAAGGTGGTTAAAGGAAGGGTACAAAGGAGCCTGTGAACTGAGAAACAAGAACTTGAAGGGATTAAGGAGGCCTGAGGAAAAGAAACAAGAAACCAAGCAGCTTCTTGCAAAAGGAATTTTGAATGAACCCCAAGGTAGCCACTATCAGGGAGCTATGTTATGAGAAATGCAGCACAGGTAGGCCAAGAGAAAGGATGGTTAAAGCAAATGGATGAAAGCAAGAAGTGGGTTGAAAAGCAATGGCTTGAGGAAACAAGAGCTGCAGGTGACACAGCATGAAGATAGGATGAGAAAAGAAAGTCTGGGGTAAAACATCACACAGAGCGCAGCAGGAAGGGTTGTGCATTATGATCAGGAAGGAGTGGACAGGCAAGGGAAGTCTGAAGGGCTCAAGGTGTCAAGAGGTCATAGGATCGTGCCAACTTGAGTCCAGACCTAGTCATGCCCTTAAGAGTTGCAGAGAAGGGGAATTCTGTCAGTTGTAGATTCCACTGTCCCTGCAGCACTGCTGGGTCAAAGGCAGCAAGAGGGAAGAGGCTGAATTTCACATATTGATTTGTATTAGACACCCAATTATTTGCCTTGGATAGAAATACATGCAATATTTGCAGTGAAATCTTTCCTGGTCCCAAACACCTCGCCTCAAGAAAGGGAACTACAATGCTAGCTTATTTACCTAAGTTTTCAACTTAAAGGGCAGCAATGCCACCATCTCTGTCTCTAAACCCTGCCTGGCCAGGAGTTTATTTGAAAAAAGAAAAATCAGAGAGATAAAGAGAGGAGACAGTTCACTTGGTGCTCCTTATGGAATCTGTTTCTTGGAAGTCCAGCTGTGTGCTTGATTTACTGCACCATACAGATGCCTGTATAGTTCTGCCAGTATTCAGAAATATCACTCAGTCAAATGTCTCCCTTTAGTGACTGGAACCCTGAGGGGTTATTTCTCTCTGTAGGCTGTACCGATTGAATCTTATAATCAGGATAAGACCTCAGAACAGGCAGGCAAGAAACCATATCTGATTATAAGAATGTGCTATTTTCTCATGACATTTCTGTCCATACACATACCGCGCTGGTGGCTAGCTGACGGTTGAAATAAAAATAGACCAATACAGGAAAAGTGACAGAAGTTCAGATTCTGTTTTTTAACGTTCACAATCAAGACATTTTCAGAACTGGCCTGCCCTTTTGGAGACATGTTCCCCAAAGAGCCTTGTTTGACTTGCCTGAATAGCAACTGCTGCTGATGCAGCAAAACCAAACTGCCTGCCCTGGAACCTAAGAGCACACTTAGGTCCTATAGATTTCACTGGGTTCATATGGCTGCAGGCCTTTGCACACTTACCTGGAAGTAAGCCCTACTGATATAACAGGATATACTTCTGAGTAAACATGCATGGATTTCAGTTTGTGTGCCTATGTGTCCTTTGAAAACATTTACTGGTTATTAAATAAGGTTTCTTTCCCTGGTGATATGGGCAAAAAAGTAAGGGGACAGAACATCTTTGAACTCTGGTCACAAAGGCAGAATCCACAAAAGAAACTTGGAATAGCAAGTGGAAGGATGGCTTGAGTTCTTTCACATTTTACCGTGACACATTTTATAGGGACTCAGCTGTTTCTGCAATTCCTGAATTATTGGGATCCTGGATCTCTTTTGTAGCAAAAGTGCACCTATTTATTTAGGTTTCTGATGAATGATTCTCAGGACGAGCTACAGAGAGATTCTCAGAAACACTGGGTAGAAATCTAAGAAATCACGATTCCTTGTATAGCAGCTTCAGTTCAGAAAACAAACACTGGGAAACAGAATGAGGCAGGGAGCGAGAGGGCAAAGAAAATCCAGCAAAAGGCCTCCCCACTCCCATCCTCTCTCTTAAATGTTTGTACCATTTGGAATTGAGATTCATTCCCGATAAAGAGAGCAGAAGCAACTCAAAAGAAAACAGGTTTCCTTTTCAGTTCAAAGCCAGAGAACTCTGCATAAAAGTGGATCAAAGGGCTTTCCTGCTGTTAACATCATACTCATCATGTTGTCCTAGGAGTCGCCTGGTGATGGGGGTGGGGGGAGAAACAAAGAATGGAATTCTGCACATTCATCATGACACGTCATCTAAGAAGCAAAGCAGGTGTTGATTCTGCAGCGAGATCTTGGCCCTGGCTTGCTGCCTCCATGTTGCTTCCCTCTAAAGCAGCAGCAAGCGTACTTGGGGCAGTTAATTGCTTGATCCTCATCCAGAGAGTAGGATTATGCCAATTGCTGTGCGATGGATGGGGGCTGGGCCAGGCACCAGGTCTTTTTGGGGTGTTGTGGGTGGGGGACTGCTGAAAGTTGTGGAATCCTGGAAAGCAGTCATGCAGCAGCTTTGTAATGCAGGGCAGCTTTGGTTGTGTCGATACCGGCCTTCATCATTCTGAGCGTGGCCTCCATGGGATCTGTGTGGTCCTCTCCCTTCTCAGTGCTTTGATCTCCCCAGTGATGCATTGAATGAGTTAAACCAGGTTTAAAATATGCTCTGCCTCCTGTTCTTTCCTCGAGCTGGGGGGAAATGAGAAATGTTAAAAAGGCCTGAGAACGATGGGTCAAAGCCTGGAAGATTACACAGCAAAGGGTATTTCAGAGAGGAGTTTTCCTCCACGAAACAGGGTGGCAATGTACGGGGAACTGAGGCATGCAAGGACAATGCCTCTGCACAGGGATCTCTGGCACAATATTGGGGTTCGGTCACTGAACCAGCCTCCCAAGCCCAGTTTTATCTCCAATTGTCCATTGACTCACATTTTGAGGGATAATTATAACATAAAGTTGCTCGATCCCTTTGCACAGAAGGTGATGTAAGTGCAATTTCCAAACCATACACCAGAACTACCAGTTCAAACACACAGGCTACCTTTGCAGGGAATCTTTTGTCCCCCGAGCTTTTGCCTGTGGGGTATGGTCTAGCATAATGGACCATCTGTGACACTTCAGCAATCAAGAGCTTCATTGTTCACAGAGCCACATCATCACAGGGATGTGATGATTCCTAAAGGTTGCATTGTTCATTACATTTCTCCAGTTTTAGAGGAGGATTCATGCTCAAGATACCGAGTGTCACTGTAAGTGGCTAAGGTGGAACTCAGAATGCAATTTCTTCTCTGCCACAGATTTCCCACATGGCTTGGAGCTGCAGTTCCACAGGACTTTGCATGCAGGAGATCCCAGGTTCAATCCCTGACATATCCAGGTAGAACTGGGAGAAAATCCTGTCTGAAAACTTGGAGAGTTGCTGCCAGTCAGTGTAGGCAGTGCTGAGCTATTCATTCATTTCTTAAAATTTATGCATCGCTTGATTGTAAAAAACAACAACCCTCAAAGCAGTTTACAAACAGGAAAAAAAGAAATCATGAAAAAATTGCAGTCATAAAACATACAACAGTTAAAATATACTAAAGTAGATTAAAAGTCACTTTAGCATTTCTAAGCATCTGGGAAGGCTTGTCTAAACAAGAATATATTTAGCAGGCACTGAAAAGAATACAGTGCCTGCTTGAGGGCACAAGGAGAAGGGGACGACAGAGGACGAGATGGTTGGACAGTTTTCTCGAAGCTATCAGCATGAGTTTGACCAAACTGTGGGAGGCAGTGGAGGACAGGAGTGCCTGGCTTCTTCTGTTCCATGGGGTCAACGAAGAGTCGGACACGACTAAACAACAACAACAAACCAGGCATAGGCAAACTCAGCCCTCCAGATGTTTTGGGACTACATCTCCCATTATCCCTAGCTAACAGGACCAGTGATCAGGGATGATGGGAATTGCAATCTCAAAACATCTGGAGGGGCGAGTTTGCCTATGCCTGCACTAAATGATTGAGTTCTTACAAATGCGGAACAATTCTGCAAATTGAAGCAGTCGAGCTAGATGGATCAATGCTCTGATTTAGTATAAGGCAGCTTCCTCTCGTTAGGGGTACATGTTCCAGGGGGAAGGGCAGATCAAGGTGCCCTTTTAAATCCCGAGGAACTTAAGAGCACAAGACCCTTTCTGTTCCTTTTCTAACTCCACAATATCCTTTTAGAGACACAGTGACCAGAAATGTGCACAGTATTTGATTAACATTTTTTTCTAACAATCTCTAGCATGGGAAAAGGATGGGGGGGGGCGGGAAGCTGACAGCTTCTATGCCAAGGTGAGGCAAAATCTGAAGTCATGATCCCCTAAATCATATAAATGCGAAAAAAATCTACATTTGCACAATGTATCCTAATACCCAAATTTGAAACTTCTGGCTTTGCTGAATTGCACGTGAGGAAGGGTGCCTTGTGAAGATGAATATTTGGATAAGACAGAGAGTGCGTGAGAGAGAGAGCTGCTCAGTCCCTTCTTCCTCAGCCTCTAAAGGTTTATAATGATTTAAATTATCACAACAGTCACAACAAGTGCCAGAGAGCGGCTCTGGACATTGTAAGGTTTATTGAAGTTTATCGCTCAGAAGCAGTTAGGCCATGCTGTGCTGCACGCTAGCTAATACTTCAAATACTGGCTCACTGGCTTCATGCCTTGTTGTGAGGATAAAATAAGAGGGGGAGGGCAGGAACCATGTACTCCAGCACCTTGAGCCTCTTGCAGGAAAGGTGGGATGTAGTAGTAGTAGTAGTAGTAGTAGTAATAATAATAATAATAATAATAATAATAATAATAATAATAATAATGGTTAAAATATGTATTTCAAACAGTTCTTAAAAAAGGACAGCCAATAGAGCCCAGGAACCTGAATAATGCTTATAGATCAACTTTGTCACCATAACTAAGGCTACATTCAGAACAAACGGACTTGGAAATTGGCCAAGTGCACACAGCAAGGTATGTTTAACAGGGACAGGAACATTAAAAGCTTCCCATTCAAGGTGTACATATGAGTGGGATAGTCTATTGTAAAGAAGCACTGTCAGATCTTTGGTCCAGGGAATGTCATAAGAACAAGTGGGAAGGAAGTTTGGCCTACTGGGATTCTACTATTAGCAGGGCAAAAGATGTGATGGACACTACCCTCCCCCTTTTCATTTTGCTAACTACACCAGGGAACTTACAAAATAGGTGGCAGCAAAATCAGGCTTCAATAATGCTTTAGCACACGCAGAGGAGTGTGCTATGAGATCAAGTTGCAACATGGCTGCTTTGCACTTGGGAGACTTACGACCGAGTGGCGCAGTAGCACAGAAGACAACAAGTTTCTGAAAGGCCCTGAAACTTGCTCGTCTCCCACCCCACAAGACAATAAGACCAAAAAAGCATCAGGTACCTACCAGAATGCTGGAAGCTTGAGCCTCGATAGCCAGGGTCCTTTTGAAGTTGTATTTCTTTCAGAGAAAAGATGGAGGCAGCTGGAGGAAAAGGGTGGATGAGGAGACAAGGACAGAGGGGATGAGAATTAGCGTACCTCAAAATTACAATTTCTGCAGAGAACTGAGACAGAAGCATAGAGACAGGAAGAGGTGCCCCTAGTTGAAGATGAAGGGCAGAGAATATGGACTGTATTGCTCACAGTTCACTTGCCATTCTGATCCTATGCAGATTTACTTAGAAGCAAGGACCACTAAGTTTAATAGGAATTGCTCTCAGGTAAGTGTGTATAGGAGAGCAGCCACCAGCTCCATTTTTATATTATAGAAAACAAGGATTGCAGGAGAGATATGAAATGTCTGTCTGGTATACCAGTGTGTGTGGGTGGAGGGAGGGAAGGGAAGGGAATAAAGGTCTCAGCATAAGCCTTAGGTTTCCAGTAAAGTCCTTGATGCTGTATGACTCTCTTAGAATTGCTTCTAATCTTTCCAAGTAGTGTTGTCTGTGCAAAGAGACTACTATACTAGGTTTTACCAAATCTGTCAGAGGTGGTTCATCCCGGCAGCAGTTCCTTTTCTCCTTTTCTGGGAATTATCTCTCTCCTTGCACTCAAACGCCCCATCCCCTTTCTTTTAAACCAGCAATAAGAAAAACAGGCTGTGCTCCTTGAACTACTGTATTTTTCGCTTTATAGGACGCACCCGACCACAGGACGCACCTAGTATTAGAGGGGGAGAACAAGAAATCCCCCCCCTCTCCCTCTCTGTGCAGCGCCCCTTCAGCGAAGCGACAGGAGAAACGGAGCCCCTTCCATTTCTCCTCCCACTTCGCTGAAGGGGCGCTGCGCAGAGAGGGAAAGCTGCACAGCGCCTCTCCAGCGAAGCAAAACCAAGAGAGTGAGAGGGATCGGTGCGCACCGACCCCTCTCGCTCTCTAGGCTTCAGCAAAAGCAACGCGTGGGAGCGCTCCCATTGCGCATCGGAGGCTTCGCGTTGCTAGCCATGGAGCCTGCATTCACTCCATAAGACGCACACAAATTTGCCCTTAATTTTTGGAGGGGGAAAAGTGTGTCTTATAGAGTGAAAAATACGGTAGATTTAGTGAGCCACCTGCACAGTCAAAGCAGGGGAGAAGAATATAGCTGCTCCATGCAGCAGTGGTCACACACTTACTCTCAGGAAGGAGGTGCACTTGTTCACCGAGTGCCGTAAAGTAAGGGTGCCGCAGTGCAGATTCTGCAGAAATGCGTCTTTTGGCTTCATACTAGCAAGAGAGAGAGGCAGAAAGGTTTGCACATAAGTGTCCATATGCATGTAAGTATGGGCATTTATCTCATGTGCCCAGGTGCTTATTTGAGTGTGTATGTATGCAGGCATGCCTGATTCCTGAACCCTCCTACATTCCTGTGCAGCTCAGAATGGGTGCTATGTGGCTCATGGAGGTCAACTGATTCAGCAAAATACTCAACTCCCCTGTGCAGCTGTGCCATGCATGTTTTCTTTTTGCTGCTCAGGCTGCATGCAGCCACATCCTATCTTTCTGGATAATATGTGGCATTTCTTGTTATGCGGCAGTTATACTTTCCTGCCTGTACACAGAGACAGCATAGTGAAGCAAGTGGGAAGCACTGGGTGATCTTGGAGAAGTCCACCTCTTTCAGCCTACCCTGCTTTGCAAGGCTGTTCTGATGCTATACAACATTCCTTTAAAGCACAGCCATATGCATGTGGACTCAGAAGCAAGACCCATTGCGTTCAGTGGGGCTTATTCCCAGGTAAGTGTGCAGAAGATTACAATCGTAAGCTCCTTGAAGGATAAATATGATCTTCATTGTAGAGTTTGCATTATCATAGAATCATAGAATCATAGAGTTGGAATAGACCACAAGGGCCATCGAGTCCAACCCCCTGCCAAGCAGGAAACACCATCAGAGCACTCCTGACATATGGTTGTCAAGCCTCTGCTTAAAGACCTCCAAAGAAGGAGACTCCACCACACTCCTTGGCAGCAAATTCCACTGTCGAACAGCTCTTACTGTCAGGAAGTTCTTCCTAATCATTGTGTGTAGCTATAATGCACCTGGAAAGAATGACTGAACTTTAATGGTCTCAATGATTATGGAAAGAATAGGTGATGAAGCAGGCTTCCCCTTTGAAATATGCACATACAGGAAAGCAAGGCCAGTAATCGAAGTTGAGCAGGGGAGGAGAAAGCTTCCTTGGCTTTCAAGGCCAAACCTGAGTGAAATGTTCCCTGCCACTTCATATCCCACTGACCAAGATAAATGCAATTGTACCTGAGGAACTCTACATTTTGTACTTTAGTTTTGGCTCAGCTGGGATAGGTCAAGCAGCTGCTGCAGAGCTAAACAATGTCTCTCCTAGGAGAGCTTGAACAGGAGCAAAAGAATCTTGGCAGGAGAGGGAGGGCCAAGCCACCAGAACAATCAACAATGCTCTGGACTTCCATTGATTTCAATTACGGAAGCTTGGAAAGATCAAAGTTCAGGTCAAGAAAGGAGGAACCATTGTCTCAGTTCCCCATTATGACCAGACATCTTGCATTTCCTTGAGCAAATCCTTTTCTGAGGACTGGCTTACATACTAATTTCCACTTTGGTAATTTCTGTGTCTGTGAAGTGGCAGTAAGTCATACCTAACAGATAACAGGTATTGACATAGTTTTGATCTGTGAGTGCCTGACTCTAGGGCGGCTAGGGCAGGGTGTCCTCAGTAGGCTTCCCCCATAACTAACTTGTGGATGGGCAGCAAAGTTAGATATCTGATGGATCCAGCAATCATAACACCAGGCAGCTCCCTGTCTCCCAGAGGGAGCCTCTGAAACTGATTCAGTGACGCCAGCCAGTTTGGGGTAATTTAAATGGTCTGATAGGTTTGATCAGGGTCTTCTATTTTTTAACTCGATGAGGTCTGGGCTGTCCAACTATTCCCAGGTCTCTGTGCTATGAATTGTCCTGCCAATGGCTGTAGTATTTCCTTGGCTTTTGCTTACCAGTTGGGTTTGTTTCTCACCTGGAGGGGGAGGAGAATTTAGTTCTGTCAGCATTTTAAAGCTAATCAGCCTCATTTTAAGCTAAGGACAATACACGGATCAAAATATGATTAGACATAAGTGTCCATGTACAGGCAAGTATCAGCATTTACATCATGGGCCCAGGTGCTCATTTGAGTGTGTGAGTATGATTCTGCACCTGCTCAAATTTTGGAGTATGATTTCATGCCCAAAAATGCACACCAATTTAGGATACAATACATTTAGAAATGTGTACATTGAGAGAAAACACATTGTATTTTGTGATAAAACATGTAACTATATATGGATTTTCATTTGGGTTTTAAATGCAAAATGAGACACGATAATAGAATCAAAGAATCATAGAGCTGGAAGGGGCAAAAGGGGTCATCTAGTCTAAGCCCCTGCAATGCAGGAATCATTTTGCCCAACGCAGGGCTCAAGCCCATGACCATGAGATTAAGAGTCTCATGGTATAAAAGTAGTATAGAATTGGAAGGGACCCAAGGGTCATCTAGTCCAACCCCCTGCAATGCAGGAATCTCAGCTAAAGCATCCATGACAGATGACCATATAAACAAACAAATAAGTAAATACATCTCTCTCACAAATCATCAAAAATATTATTTACACAGGCAAAGAGATCTACACTTTGATGTGACACTTCATTCATTTATCACTCCAAGCCATTGCCTGTATGAGGTAAGAAAGGGGACATAATCTGTATCTTAAGGCTTTTAAAAAACCATCCCTATGTAACCTTTTATACCCTTGAAAAGAAGCAGGCACAAAGATGCCTTTGTCAGAAATATCAAGACTCGTAGAAGAAGATGGACACTTGAAACAATTCCCCCAGCAGAATATTTGCAGCTGTCACTGGGAGGTTCTGCCCTGTGCACCTAGATACTCCCTGTTAAGCCATTAAGTGGGAGAACCACTAAAATTGGTACTTAGCCATCACCACCATCCCGGACAATAAGCAGCTGCAGCAGCAAAGTATATGTTGGATGAAGCATGGAATCTTTGGTATCTGGCTCAGCAACTGAAGCCACCTACCAGGAGGAGACTCATCAAAAGGTCGATTCCTTCTGTGTCCAGTCTGCAAGAGAAGAAAGGAGCTTGGGAGGCAATTGGCTATTGTCAAGGGCAGTACACTTGGGACACGTGTACACCAGAACATATGGAGAAAAGCTGTGGAACGTCTAGAAAATACTAGACCACAAGTGGCAATTTAGGTTCTTTCCTGGGGAAGAGGCAACTCAACAGGTTGGACATAGATGCTGCTTGCAGAATGCTGATGCCACCTAGTGGCAGCCCCAGAAAGACCAAAAGGAGATGGGGATGGTGTATACTGAGAAAAAGAAGAACTGTTGATCATATGTTGATCGCAATGCAGATTATTGATATACTATTCCACACAATTAACAAAGATTCTTCTGTCACCCTTGCTTGTTTTGTGTGCATGTTTATCCAGTGAAAAACAAGAACTGGTGCTTTCCTTCCCCTAGTATTTTCTAGCAGCAGAAACCCATTAAGAAGTCTGCCCTGCCTTTTAAGGCCATTGTCCTACCTTGGTGCATGGTTTATCAATGGCTGGGCTCGATACTGTGTGAAATTATATGCCTTGAATTCCTCATTGGATGTGATGCCCGGCCAAGATTCTTCTGTAGGGGTTCCTGCAGGAAATAGGCTTAGTTGCACATTTACTGTATCCACATGGAGCGTTGCACAAGATGGAATCCAATATCTGGCATTTAGAATTTAGAATCATGAAAAACTCAACACAGAGGGAGGGAAATCCATCCACCCACAGACACAAAGCCCTTTTCACAGCAGAGGAACACTGAGAAACACACTTGCTGTTAAAAGACTCAGAAACCAAATGGAGTGTTGGGCTGTTAGAACACAGGAGGATGCCTGATGCTGAGTCACTGAACTTATTTAGCCTACTGTTGTGTAATCTGACTGGGCTTCTCTGGCCCTGCTGTCTCAGACCCTTTTAAACTGAAAATGATGGGTAAGAAACTCAGGACTTTGGGCATTTACATCCCACCTTTCCTAGGAGCTAAAGGTGTTTCACATACTTCTCCCCCTCCACATTTTATCACCAGGACAACCTTGTGAGGTGATTTGACCAAGGTCATCCAGTGAGCTTCATGGCTGAGTGGAAATCTGAACCCTGGTCTCCCTGGATGTGCTCTTAAATGAAATCAGAACAAAACAAAATAAAACCTTGGATGCATATTTAAATTATGAAAACATCATTGACAGAGATTTGCTTCGGGGGCTGTGCATTCTGTCACCAGCCAAATAACCCTGCTAGTTCACACGTAGCTGTTAAAGGCTCCAGTTTTTTCTGTATCCTTCTATTCATTCCACCCTCCTCCCCAGTCCACATCAAGAAGCAGAGAATTACAAAGGACTCACCCAATGTCCTGAATATTAAATGCAGCTCTTCTTTCACGGTCGATCCTGGGAACATGGGCCGTCCTGTGACCATTTCATAGTGTATGCAACCCACACCCCTACCACAGACCAAAAAGAGATACAAGAACATGAAGCAATCAGGTCCTTCAGAACATCCTATTCTCTGCCAAGTCTTCCTCTCATTGCTTCAGTCTCTGCAGAAAAAGCAGGACCACCACCAAGATGTTTTGTAGAAGACAATGTGAGAGGCAGGAACTGTTTCTCCCCCCCCTCCACCTAATCAGTAGAGAAAAGAAGGACTTCAGGAACATGAAGGAACAAGCCATGAGAAACTGCCTGTAGCTGGGATGGGGAACCTATAGCTCTCTAAATGATACTGGAGCCCAACTCCCACCAGACCCAGCCAGCATGGCCAATGGTCAGGAATGATGAGTGCTGGCATCCAGCCAAACATCTCTAAAGTACCAAGTCCCACATTCCTCCTGAATAGTGTTAAACACTGAAAAGGCTCTGGAAGCAATATGGAGAAGGCAAACCGGGAGGAAAAAAGTCACAATGGAGAGAATTATTGTACCCACCCTTTCCCAAACACAGACCCCTTGGCTCACCACATGTCAATGGGAGTGGAGTATTCTGTGGATCCTAGTAGGACATCAGGAGGCCGATACCACAATGTGACCACTTCATTGGAATATGTTTTTGTTGGGACAGATTTGGCTCTGGCTAGACCTGAGGGTGGAAGGGAAGTCAGTGAGATGCAATCCTGTGGTTTGCGACTACCAGTTTCATCCTGACAGTATGTGTGAGGGACAGTGATTCCCCAGAAAAGGCGTGGGCTTTAGCAGGTACCACACTATCTACCATGACTCCAACAGTGGCCCTGAAGAATCAAGAGAAAAATACAGTGGGCTGAGCTAGGAAAAAACAATTTCGTGATTGCTTCACTGAGCAGGCATTGCATAATTGTATAACCTATAAGAGCAATAATGGAAATTGTTCCTTGGATTTGGAAAGTAAACCCAGCAGCCCAACAGGATTCATGGAGCACCACAAATTGTAATGCTTTGCTAATGTTGGTCATATATTCCACAAGCGCTGTTGAGAGCTGCACAGAGGTGCAAAGCATGACAGATCAGAATATTTGGAAGACAAGTCTAATAAAAAGTGGGTCTCACTGAGTTGAGCTGAGCTTACTCTGAGGTGACTATGTATAGGATTGCAGCCTAAAGATGCTTGTGTGTGTGTGGGGTGGGGGTGGAGTTTCATATGGTCTCTAAGCCATAATGTATAAAGCACCACATGAACAAATAATTGAAAGTCTGTGTTTGGCAAACATCTTCACTCCGTTTAAAACTTGTTGCATGTAAATTAGAAGTGGGGTGGGGGGCAGTAGTGGTAGAAGTCCCCCAAAATAATTTCCTCACAATCTGAAAATGTAGGAGCACCTAAGCCAGGGATAGGAAATTGGTGTCCTCCAGAGGTTGCCGAATCACAGCTCCCTTCCTCCCAAGACCATTGGCCATGCTGGCTGGGGCAGATGGAAGCTGCAGTCCAAAAACATCTGGCAGGCCACAGGTTGGTCCTTCTGCTCCCTGACATAGTACCCTCCTATTCAAAATCGAGCTGAAATTTGTGCTGGCATTTCCCCAGCTTATCTCCTAACTTACCAAAATCTGCGAGTTTCAGTTCCCCTTTCCCATTAATGAGCAGATTCTGTGGTTTGAGATCTCTGTGTAGGATCTTGAGCTGGTGGCAGTAGGACAAACCACGCAGCAGCTGGAACATGAAGATCTTGGAACCACAGGGAAAGAAGAGGGGAGAGAAAGCAGTTAGAGATACTTTAATGGTAGACTCTGCTCTGTGGAGAATTAAGGCATGAGATATCATTCCTGAAAGAGATGGAAAATCCTCTAACTTGGCAGTGGGGGAACCTGCATAATTTGGCCCACCGGACCTCCAGTCTCGGAGCCGGCTCACCCATGAGGCTAGGTGAGGCAGCCACCTCAGGCAGCATCCCTCTTGGGGTGTCACCTTTGTTCTGCTGCCCAGCTTTGTTGCTGGTCTCCCCAGCCTCTAGGGGCCAAGAGGGACTAGTGGCAAAGCTCTGTAGAATGCCTCCCCTCCTGCTGAGTCAGTGAGAGGGGAAGTGTTCTGCCACTCAGCTTTGCCACCTGGTTGGGGGGCTTTGCACCAGCTTCTGCTTAAGGGAGGAGCTGATGCAAAGTTCCACTGCAGGGCAGGAAGGGGGGATCTGGAAAGGACCTGGCAGTGGAGATTCATTATGGAGTATGCACCCCCCCCACCATGGGGGTGACAGCAGGGTGTTTCACTGGAGGTGCCAAAACACCTTGGGCTGCCCGAGTCCGGTCTAACCCGCAAGGCCATTCTGGGCAAGTCACACACACTTGCCACTCACCTGCCATCAGGTGTGGGACAGGTAAAGCTGTGACTACAGAGGAACAAGCAGAACACATCCTCAACTGTGTACCCTCAATTGTTCCTTTCCTGCGCCTGACATAGGTCACCATGTGACTGAAGGGTGGGCAACCCTACCCACTTGCAAATGGGGCCCATGAGGGGTTGGCCACTTTGGGATTCCTACCCCTGCCCTGGCTTGAAAGCCTACCAATCATTTTACAGAAGAGGAAGCCCTGCACCTATCCAGCCTGTTCACTCACCTTCACATTGTGCATGCTCATCAGATTCCCACAGTTATCCAGGTACTGCTTCAGGTCACTGTCCTGCAAAGACAAGCATGTCCTGAGAGGCCCCAGTTGCCTTGAAGACCAAGGCCCCTGAAGTGACCAAACATGTATTTGGCAACAAAAAAATGCAAGTCAAATAGTATTTCCCAGCAGTTCCGAAGCAAGGTAGACGCTTGAAGTGAACTGTCTCCTCTGGCTCATACACAGATCAACACTACACAACCAGAGATTCGAAGTCACTATCCTAATCAACATAGCTAGGTCAGATTCAGTCCAAGTATTTTGTCCCTTGGCACATATGTTGTGGAGAATTTCCAGGTTCCCTGAACTCAAACCACATTTTGTTCTGAGAAAACACACACATTTTTCTATTGCTATTTAGGGAAAATCCTATTCACACCTAGCTGGGAGCAAGCCCACCAAACCCAATTGGACCTGCATGGTGTTCCACCTGGAATATTGGTAAGCAATTGTGGTCAGAGAACATGATTTCTTTTTTTTTACTGTGTACTACACGGAGACCACATTTTCTGCAAGATGCTGCTGTTGGGGGGCAGGGAACCTTCAGACTTACCACTGACCCTGAACACATGAGGCTGCCTTTTACCTTTGGTCAATCTATCTCAGTACTGTCTGCATTGACTGACAGCAGCTCCCCAGGGATTCAGGTTAAGGACATAGCTGGCCCTACCTGGAGATGCCAGAGATAGAACCTGTGATCTTCTGCATGTGAACCAGAAGCTCTACCACTGAACTACAGCCCTTCCCTTACTGCCCAAATAACACATGTGCTGCAGACAAGCCTGGACCAGCCAGCCTCCCTGTAAGACAGAAGGTCCTGACTCACCAGAAACTCAAAGACAAGAGTTAGGGAGCATTTCGTGTGAATGATATCATGGAGGGTCACAATGTTCGCATGCTTGAGGTTCTTCAGCAAGGAAACTGCAAGGCAGAGAGACTTCAGTCACAAGGGTATGTGGGTGGGGTGTACGCCCTGCACTAAAATCTCAGGCCTTGGGACTGAAGGCAGACCACTAGGCCTCTCTCTGTGGCCCTCAAGACTCCCCCCAGACCACAACTCCCTAGCCAGACCCCACACCAGCCCTGTTTCTCACACTCAGTGAGTGTGTCTGTCTGTCTGGAATGTGCCCTTGAACTCTGATAATGTTTCTTGCTTGCCTGGATGGAGGGTGGGGGGTCTGTGAGTGGGGGTAGAAAGTACCCTATTGTACAAGGTAAAATTTACATTTGTTACCTCACCCACTCTGGCATCTGGCTTAGCCCCCCCCCACTGGCATGTGGCCCCCACTGTCAGTATTTCCATTGCTACTATTGCAGGTTCACATGATCGGATGTTTCCATTCCTTATCATGTTTGTGTATAAGCAAGGCAAGTGTATGTGGGAATAGCACTACCTGATGTTTCTCCGTTTGTTTACATTTTGGAAAATGAACCCTGCTCCTCACCTTCCCTTATAGCTGTACAGGGGGCCCCTTCCTCGTGCTCTAATCGGATCTCCTTCAGGGCAACCAGGTTCTTGGTGAGCTTGCTGCGCCCTTTAAAGACAGTGGCATAGGTGCCCTGAGAGGAAGAAGCCAAGAAAAGTAAGCAGCTCACTAACAAATCCCACAGCAAACCCCGCTCATTACTCCCTACACAAAACAGCATTATTCTGGTTCTGCTGAACTAGATTAGATCTCTGTAGCACCCCTGCTTAATTTGGATTAAAAACGACTCCTTTGCAGTCTTCTTCCAAACAATATCTTCAGATGGGCTTCATCTGATTTAAAACTTTGTCTCTTTTGGGTTGACAAACTAGATTTATTTCTTGCCATGCTTCTTTGAGAAGCATTTGCTGGTAAATATATGCTTAATAATCTGCATCAAATGATCTGAAATTAGTTTTAAAAAAGAAGAAGTTTATTTCAGCACGGAGGAAGCATTCAATTTGGGAAGCACATCCTAGTCCCTACTATAGGACACTGAACAGAACCAAATTGTTTCCTTATGCTGTTGATCCCTTGCAAAACTTTTGAAAAATTCTATTCACAGCTCAAGGAGCAAGTTTAAGTGCAGGCAAGGAACCTGGTGTCTCTCCAGATATTATTGGACTCCAACTCCCATCAGCCTCAGCAAGCAAGGTCAAGGTTCAGGGATGATGGGAGTCAAGGCCCAGGAACACCTGGAGAGCCACTGGTCCCCTAGCCCCATTTTAAATCTATAAAACCCTTAACATATCAAGACTGGCTCCCAAAGTGGATGACAACAGTTAAAATTCTATCACAAAGACACAACATGGGAGTAGAATGATGACAGAGCTTATTCTTACCTCCCCTAGCTTCTCCAGTTTAACATAGGTTTCAATCTTTCCAAACCCAATGTCTGACTGTCATGAAAAAGGAAGAAGTGTCAATACAAAAGATCCTTAGGGAACTTACTGATGATCACATTCTGCAAAGCAGTTCTTGCCTGCAATACATTTGGTGGAGAGGAAGGGGACAAAAAAATCAACGCAGGTCCTTGAACACACCTTGTGTGAGCTACTTTTTGCAAAAGTGAAATCATGGACAAGTCCCCATAGTGCTAGTGCATAATATATTCAGTGAAATCGCTTTCTTCACTTGGGGTGTGTTGCAGCAAGGAAAACTTCCAATTGCTTTCATTTCTCACACTTCTCCATCAGTCTGCCAGATTGTTGTGTTCAGAGAGCTGTTTAAGCTGCCTAATTGGGTCTTCCCTTCCCATTATACAAGATTCCCTTGTGTAATGCCTTTCGATCCTGGCTCAGCGTTGACCTGGGGTCAGGAGAACCAGGTCAATCCCCCCAACCTCTTCCACCAACACCTCATATGGCCCTGAATAAGCAGTCAAATGTTGTTCACATCCCATGTACTCTATTCTTGCTGAATATCAAATAGGGCTAACAATGCCTCTTGTTAAACGTTGCATATTTGGCCTGCATTTTACTGTGTGAACATGGTGTTTGAATGTACGTACCATTTGTAAACATGATGGAGTAACAGGATTAAACCTTCTGTGGTGATAAGAGGCTTTTCAAAGCAAGTATTAATGCTACTTAGGTCATGTATTGCCTTTTAAGCATGATATTATTCAGCACTAGGTGGTGGTAAAGAGACAGCCACCTTTGCAGAAAAGGACCCATGGGATTCAATAAATATTTCATTTTCAGCTCAATAGGGAAAACTTGTGAATGGGCTGCATCTGAAGCAATTTAGGATCATGAATTAACCAACGGTTCTCGCTCAGTATTTCAGGTGTTTTCTTCAAGCTCAGCGCCTAAATACTGGGGGCAGGGAACGTGAACAAGATTCTAGCCATGGGATTCAGATCGATCGATCACACTGCAACTTAAAACACACAGCGGCTGTGAGTGTGGAAAGCAGAGAAAGAAAGCAATTCAGGGGAGCTGCTTTTGCTAAAGAAACAGGGTGGTAAGCATGTTTTTAAAGTGTGTGCTTAAAGCGACACATAGCTTGCCCCTTTTCCTGGAATCAGCTACCGGTATTTCAACACAATGCACTTCTGACATACTTCTCTAGTCTGACACTCCTACGCACCTCCAAGTAATGCTTAGGACTGGATTGCAATGCATTTTAGATACCTCAGAGATGTTACACGATCTCCCCCACCAAAAAGCGGCCCTCTCCCTGCTTTTCTGCCTCCAGCTCTACAAGCTTCTTGGCCTGATCAGTTGCTGGCTTAAAATGAATCTTACAACTATGATTCCTACTGGATCTAAAGGGTCAGCCACACACAAACTCTGAAAACAGGTTGCAACCTGCAGAGCCATAACCCAGGAAGGACTGGCCAGAGGTGGAGTGAGGTGGAGGGGGGAAAGCAAACGTTTTCCATATTTTAAGCAGGAATACTTCTATTTGCGTGTGAAAATGATAATAAGGCTGCAGACAAAGCAAAGGAGTCTTTAACATGATCCAATGTTTCACAAAAGTAACAGCCCCACATTTGTGAGTTTCAAAGCAGCACACATTGTTAATTTATGAGGTTATTGATATTTATGGGACACTTGCTTCAGCTGCATATATTTTATTCAAGAGACAAACAACACTGCACAGGTAAATGGGAAACCCTGAGATATAAGGTTTCATTCTTCTTTCCGCCTTAGAGTTCTGAGTTCCAACCCCACCTCTTCTTGGGGAAAAATAAAGAGCTACTTGCTGGCCTTAGCTGCCCAGAGGGACTGGAATAACTGAACAGCACACATTTCCGATGCAGTTTCAGTACTGAAGTAGGTGTTTGCCCTGGTTTAGGCCCATCACACTTGAGCTTTTTCATATGTGCAAGTGCACAGGGGCAAAGTTCTGCTGCGTTGCATGAACTTGCATGTTCTGAACCCCTGTCAAAGAGTGGGACTCACAAGAGAAGCCCGTCGAGACATCCTGCTAAGAGGCTTTGAAATTTCTGGACTTTCCATCTCTAGTTTCTGGAGGAACTCTGGGGGAAGGCGAATATCCATGGGCAGAGAGAGGCGCTTGCTGACGTCCTGTGGAGAAGAGCAGCACAGAATTAGTTCCCAAGGCCTCCTAGCCATCCAAAAGACTTCTGGTGGTCACAGCCCTAATGCTGTATGTCCCACAACAACCCTTTCATCTTCTGCTCATTTGGAAACATAGAACAGTTGCAGCGCTAGCATTTGAAGGGTGGGAGAAATACAATTAAATGCAACTACATTGCCTTGTTTATATGTTTCACTTCTTCAAACCACTCTCTAGCCTCAAACTGATAGTGAAGATGAGGCAGGAGAGCCAGGCTTTAGTTTTGAGCAAGTGGTATGTGTGTTCTCTTAAAAATACATGAATTCAAGCATTTATGTCATGTTGTGTGACTTTAATCTCTAAATACTGGGTCTCAACTTTGTCTGGAGCTAATGCTCATGTCCTCTCACAAAGAAGCGATTCCCCCATCTATGGGTATAGGAGAAATAATTGTTGCTTCTCAGTAGGCGGACCATGGCATTTTGCATATGCTTTAAAGGCACACTTTTGTGTACAAATGGAATTCAAATTCTGATGCCGTGTGTGTGTGGAATTGTAGCTTGCAAATTCAAGAAGTCACTAGCCTCTACCGGCACAGACATGTTCCCCGGAAAAGTAACTCCAAGTTCCCCAAGGTCACATAATGTACTTTGCCAACGCTGACCACTTTACGGGAACATCCTTGAACAGGCACTCATGCAGCCATTTCAAAGCTATTTCAAAGTTTCGTAAGAAGAATTCCTACACTGAGTAAAGCACACACATCTTGAAGACTAACTGAATACACTAATCGGGGGAGGAAAACACAAAAATGTGGGAAGGGGCCATCAACTTTGTTCCAGTGTTGTTGTTAGATATTTGATTTGTATATCGCCCGAATCTTTTGGGAGCTGAAAAATGGGGTATAAGTATATTAAAATAAAATAAATTTCAATTGCAACACTAGTTCTTTTCTGATATGAACAGACCACTCATTCTCAAAGGCAGATTCTTGGTTGACTCTGATTCTCAAACAGTCAGCATCCTGTTGCAATTAAAAGGGGTCCATAAACATCATATCTATTAGAGCTAAAGACAAAATTTCTCCAAATTTTTCTGAGAATACACCTGATGACATTTCAGAAAGCATTTCAAGAATTCTTTTTCTTTTTCTCAGCCTCCTAGAAAAAGAAGCCCACTTTGCGTAATTACACCCCCCCCAATATTATTATTTTTGGGGGGCAGCTGCCATCTCAGCTCCACAATGTCCTGGAACACTGGCATTGTGGGGGATGTAGAATGATGGCCAGGCTGCCACTACGACAAAAAAAGAGGAAAGAGTCTATGCTACTTGTCATTGCTAACGGTGAGTGCCATGCCCGGGAAACTGCTGGAGAATTTCTTTTCTCTCTGGAGAAATTGTGTGAAATGGCACCCCACCCACTCAGTTTCTGTGCCCACAAATAGGGTGGTGAAATTCAAGAGGCCATTTGTAAAGGTAAAGGTAAAGGTAAAGGTACCCCTGCCCGTACGGGCCAGTCGTGTCCGACTCTAGGGTTGTGCGCTCATCTCACTCAAGAGGCCGGGAGCCAGCGCTGTCCGGAGACACTTCCGGGTCACGTGGCCAGTGTGACGAAGCTGCTCTGGCGAGCCAGCACCAGCGCAGCACACGGAAACACCGTTTACCTTCCCGCTATAAAGCGGTACCTATTTATCTACTTGCACTTAGGGGTGCTTTCGAACTGCTAGGTGGGCAGGAGCTGGGACCGAAAGACAGGAGCTCACCCCGCCGCGGGGATTCGAACCGCCAACCATACGATCGGCAAGTCCTAGGCACTGAGGCTTTACCCACAGCGCCACCCGCGTCCCTTAGGCCATTTGTACACAAGTCTAATTTCTAACATTCCATACAGATTCCCTGCACTCTGCAACTGCGTATCACCTCCATTGAAAACCGACGCTGGTTGCCATTTCGGTAACGCACAGCGGTTGGGGATGGGCCTTCCAAAGGTGAAGTGGAGCTGGGCTGCGTCTGGATGTCCCTGTTCAGATGACTCAGATGCAGGCGCCCTTGTGCCATATCTGATGAGAAAAGAAGAGCAGATAGCAATTGACCAGATGATTCCACAGACTGTCAACACTTTGGAGTCACTGCTGAGAGGAATGAAGGCAAACAAAGTGACCTTTTTGCTCTAACCTTTTTAATCTGTTCTATCCTGAGCACTTAGGACACTTAACTATACTTTTGACTTAATACCATACATTATTTAAGGAATTTACAGCTGGAAAAAACTTAACCTGGATGGATTTAACTAGTTAAGCACTACCTTGCATCTGGATACTGCAGCTCACAGAGACTTGGTCATTTGCATGACCTTCTAGCATTTTTATTAGTTCCCAAATGGCACCCATAAGAAAGGACAACCCCAAACTTGCCAGAAGTCTCCACCTGCTGCTTCCATTTTGATGAGCACACACATGAAGCAACAACCAATTGCCATTTCCTATCATACATTGTTTCAGCAAATGGACATCCATATTCTATACTCATCAGAGGTGACTGCACACACGGTCTCCCAAAGCAAAAAATAATGCCCATATAAGAAACCATAGGAGTGAAGCAGCCCTGAGACATAACTGAAAGAGGGACTCAAAAGGCTTTGAGTGGCAGAGAAGCCTGAAATATTTTATAAAAAATTCCCCATGTTTGTAGCTTGTTAACGCAGCTCTTACCAATTTTATTTTATAATTTTTTGTGTATGGCATACTAGTAAATTAAGCTGCTATTCCGAAAGCACAGATCTGTTTCTGGTTGCTGTGCTACATGGAGTTCCCCCTACCCAACCCAAGACTAAAAGAGGCCAGAATAGAATCCCCACAGCCCAACATTCTGTTTTGTGCTGGAATGTTGGCAACTATTATGAAGTAAACATCATGCCTCACGTTGTGAGTGCTAAGTGCCAAAGTGTTCAATTCTCCAATTTCACTACTGATTAGTGAATCTTAGGCTATACGCACACCCCATTCCATTTTTCTGGGTGTCCTAGAAATGCCATAACCATTCGGGGGTACACTTTGAAGGAGTAGCACACCAATGTCCCAGTTTCAGAACCACTCCATCCCCCATAAGTGTGTGTGTGTGTGTGTGTTCTATCCAGGTGCTAACCTAAGGACCCAGGCTCATTGAAAGTATCCTAAAACTTCCACTAATCCTCCCATGTAGAGCACACTAGCCAGTAGCAATGATGGTGTGAAGGCCCAAATGTATTTTAATGTGCCGCGCCAAACAGGAAGGATTGTCACAAGCCTTCTTCCCAGAAGAAGATGGTCACAATCTGCTGTGCATGAGGGAACTGGTCTAGATAATGCTTGTGTTTTTCCCAGGTTTGATTCCCCCCCCCCCACAACAGCTGTTGAGAATGACATTTATCATATCAAAGGTCCCTAATTCTAGTTGGCAGCCATGGCAAAATATGGCAGCTGTGAAAAGAGCCCTTTGGGGAGGATGCAGTGTGGTGTAGTGGTTGGAGTGTTGGACTAGGACCCACCCATGCACTAGTCACCATCTCTTAGCCTAACGTACATACATCAGTGAAGGCGGTGAATGTCCTGTGTGAGTGTCTGGAGGTGGTTGGAGGTTGGATGGTGGCTAATGGATTGAGGCTGAATCCTGACAAGACAGAAGTACTGTTTTGGGGGCACAGGGGCGAGCGGGTGTGGGGGACTCCCTGTTCCCGAATGGTGTAACTGTGCCCCTGAAGGACCAGGTGCGCAGCCTGGGAGTCATTTTGGACTCACAGCTGTCCATGGAGGTGCAGGTCAATTCTGTGTCCTGGGCAGCTGTCTACCAGCTCCACCTGGTATGCTGGCTGAGACCCTCCCTGCCTGTGGACTCTCTCACCAAAGTGGTGCATGCTCTGGTTATCTCCTACTTGGACTACTGCAATGCGCTCTACATGGGGCTTCCTTTGAAGGTGACTCGGAAACTACAACTAATTGAGAATGCGGCAGCTAGACTGGAGACTGGGAGCGGCCACTGAGACCATATAACGCAGGTCATGAAAGACCTACTTTGGCTCCCAGTACAAGCACCATTCAAAGTGTTGGTGCTGACCTTTAATTCCCTAAATGGCCTTGGCTCAGTATACCTGAAGGAGCGTCTCCATCCCCATCGTTCAGCCCGGACTCAGAGGTCCAGCACCAAGAGCCTTCTGGTGGTCTCCTCACTGCAAGAAGTGAGATTACAGGGAACCAGACAGAGGGCCTTCTCGGTTGTGGTGCCCGCCCTGTGGAATGCCCTCCTATCAGCTGTCAAGGAAATAAACAACTATCTGACTTTTAGAAGACACCTGAAGGCAGCCCTGTATCAGGAATTTTTTTATGTCTGATGCTTTACAATTTTTATATATGCTGTAAGCCACCCAGAGTGGCTGGGGAAACCCAGCCAAATGGATGGGGTATAATAAATAATAATAATAATAATAATAATAATAATAATAATAATAAGAAGAAGAAGAAGAAGAAGAAGAAGAAGAAGAAGAAGAAGAAGCTTAGTGAGGACAAAATAGGGAGTGGGAGAACCACATACACCACTTTCAGCCACTTGGCATAAAGGTGGGGAAAATATTTTATATATATATATATATGTGTGTGTGTGTGTGTGTGTGCGTGTGTGTGTGTGTGTGCGCGCCTACTCTTAAGCTTTCAACTGGTTCTGCTGCTTTGAGAAACGACCCTTTAAGACTACAATCCTGTAACCTGTAAGCCGCATTTAACTCAATAGGACTTATTTCTGAGTAGGCATGCATAGGATTGTGCTGTAAAACATTTAAATGACCTCTTCTCTTAAGAGCACAGCTCTGAAGTGTTACTGAGTCACAAATGGAAAATGAAATATGAACAAAGAAGGTTCAGAAGTCCTCTGTGGAAAGCTACTTCTCTCTGGCTTGTGGTTCTATGCTCCGCACTTAAGCTTGATAGGGCTTGTGATGAATGACGGGTTGCTTGGAGGTTCTGGAGCTCAAAGGCCCAGGACAGCGGTTCACAAGTTCAGTGCAGATCACCCAGAAACCCATGAAATAAAACCCTGTGAATTTGCAGAGGCATTATTTCTAGGATAGGCATGCAAATAAATGAACTGTTTGCTAATTATCATCTTTCTGGACAGAGATGTAGCATTTAATGAGAACTCAGCCCTGCTTCCTGCCCATTGCCTTCGCCCTTCCATATGGCAGAAACTGGGCTCTTTTGACAAAGGATACAAAAGATGGATGCAGAAGCACCATGCATGACACACAATCAAACAAGACTGAATTTGGCAGCGCGAACTGATTGCATAAGCCCTTTGCGGAGGTAGGCAACGTTGTCCATGCTGAAAAAATGGTCATGGGAAAAATGGAAAAAGAAAGTACCTACATAATTTTAACCTAAGTCAGATTTCAAACACAGTTAGGAGCCAGCATGGCATAAAGATGCAAATCATCCTCTTGTTTCTGATCTGCCAAGTGACACTGCTAAATGGCTCCTTCCAATTTCTGCTCTTTAGTTCTCCCTCCATGTAAGCTGTATATGGAGCTGCATGTGGACTTTTGCATATGCATCCTGCTATATTCCATCCTCACTAGTGGGCATAAGAAAGCTTAACCTTTTCCCTGACAGCTGAAGTTCTGTTGAGCAGGAAAGTAATCATGCACCTAAGCCATCTCTTAAGGATTCTTTAGCTGTGATTCCTGCATGGCAGGGGATCGGAATAGATGATCCTTGTGGTCCTTTCCAACTCTACACTTCTATGATAAAGCACACCATTTTAGCTTTTTTAAAATATTTTTTAATCATTTTATGAAATTCGTGTTAAAACCCTTCTTGTTTAAAAGCTATTGTGCAAATAATGTTTTTATATATAGACGAAAAAGCATTCTAGTGCAAATTTAAATGCTGACTATTATTATAAAAGCAAACAAACAAGTATGCTGCCGAAATGCTGCCAACAGGGAAAAAGGTCTGTTGAAGTGGCATGGCGATACGATTCAATTGCCTGAACCATGACTGCACACATCAAAGCCATGCTTCTCAAAAAGAGACAGAAGGGAAGCAGGAACCTGTTGAGATTGTGCTGCTTCTTCCATTCCTTCTAAAAAAAAAACAAATTTTGTAAACTCTCAAAAGAAGCAGGAGAGGCAGGGGTAAAAGGCAGGAGAGTATTTATTTATTTAAGGGATTTCTTACTCACCCTTCACCACAAGGTCCTGAGGCATGTTACAACCATTATAATTATACCATATTAAAAGCCAATGAAACACTTGAAAACAAACCCAGGAGTGCACATCAGGCAATTGTGGTGGTTTCATAAAAGACTTAACCATAAAGGGCTAGGATAAAGCGGTGTGTCTACAGCAAAGGATGGAAACGATATAATGAAGTTACTTAACAGACATATACTTTGGTGGTAGGGGTAGACTGTGAATTTGCTAGCTTCTGGGGCATATGCCAAGGCTGCTTTGAGAAACATTACAGTCAATACTAACTGCTGTTTCACTACCAAGCATTTCAAAGTATGACGTTACCATGAAAATTAATCTAGGCCTCCCATGTGCTCACTGCTCTGAAAGATGTGCACTTGCAAAAGGCTGCCCTGGTCATTTTGCCACAAAGCAGTGGGGAGTAGGGCAGTGAGAACACTTCTCACCATTCCTGCAATGATAACATAATCAGAAGGACAGATGAAATGGATAGGGATGGGATCACTGCCAGGAACAGAAAAACAGAATTGATCACTAGTCCAAACTGGAAATCTCTTATGTACCCAAACCCCCTTCCAGCTGCATCTGCTCTGTGTGCTTTATTCATCACAGGAAATGCAGTCTATGAGCATGAAAAGGCCAAATATCAGCAGGTGGACTTCTAAGCAAACTAAAATACAATGTTGAGCTGCCCAAGGCATGTTCCCTCACACTCTTCCCCACTTACTGCTGGGTTACAGCTGACAGTCTCACCAGCTGAAAACTACCCTACATGGCAAACATTGATTTCACTGCGTTCATTTCAGTCTACTTGGACAGTTGTACGATTTGCTCACTAACCAA